TCCACTGATCTCCAGTAGCATATGGGCACCTACCTACCTTGGGAGTTCATCTTTCAGTGTTCTATCTTTTTGCCTTTTCATACTGTTCTTAGCCTTAGGCAACCTTAAATGTACTTTCTGTATTTATTCTGATCATTTTGTATAGATGGAATAGTACATTTTGTGGTCATTTTAAGTTGGTGTCTTTCTCTTAGCATAATGTTTTCAACGTTCAGCTATGTTGTAGCAAATATCAGTACTTTATTCCTTTTATGGCTGAACAACATTCTATTGTATGGATATACCACATTTTTTTTATCCATTCATCAGTTGATAGACATTTGGTTTGTTTTCACTTTTTTTGCTAGCATATTTTGGAATATACTCCTGGGAGAGGGACTGCTAGGTCAAAGGGAAAATGCATGTATAATTTTTATAGACATTGCTAAATTTCCCTTTGTAAGGATTTCAGTTTTGTGTTACCACCAGCAATGTTTTGAGTTCTTGTTTTCTGGAAACCTTTGTTGTTAGTGTTCAGTCATTCAGTTGTGTCCGACTCTTTGTGACCCCATGGACTGCAGCACGCCAGGATTCCCTGTCCTTCACTATCTCCTGGAGTTTGCTCAAACTCATGTCCATTGAGTTGGTGATGCCATCCAACCATCTCATCCTCTGTCGTCCCCTTCTCCTCCTGTCCTCAATCTTTCCCAGCATCAGGGTCTTTTCCAAACAGTCGGCTCTTCCCATCAGGTGGCCAGAGTAATGGAGCTTCAGCTTCAGCATCAGTCCCTCCAATGAATATTCAGGATTGATTTCCTTTAGGATTGACTTTTTTGATCTCCTTGCAGTCCAAGGGACTCTCAAGAGTCTTCTACAACGCCACAGTTGGAAAGCACCAGTTCTTTGACACTCAGCTTTCTTTATGGTCCAACTCTTCTATCTGTACATGACTACTGGAAAAACTGTAGCTTTGACTAAACAGACCTTTGTTGGCAAAGTGATGTCTCTGCCTTTTAATACTCTATCTAGGTTTGTCATAGCTTTTTTCCCAAGGAGCAAGTGTCTTTTAATTTCATGGTTGTACCTACTGTCCACAGTGATTTTGGAGTCCAAGAAAATAAAGTCTCTCACTGTTTCCATTTTCTCCCCATCTCTTTGCCTTGAAGTGATGAAACCAGATGTCATGATCTTAGTTTTTTGAATGTTGACTTTGAGGCCAGCTTTTTCACTATCTTCTTTCACCTTCATCAGGAGGCTCTTTAGTTCCTCTTTGCTTTCTGCCATAAGGGTGTTATCATCTGCATATCTGAGGTTATTGATATTTCTCCCAGCAATTTTGATTCCAGCTTATGCATCATCTAGTCTGGCATTTTACATGATGTACTCTGCATATAAGTTAAATAAGCAGAGTGACAATATATAGGCTTGAGGTACTCCTTTCCCAATTTTGAACCAGTCTGTTGTTCTATGTCTGGTTCTAACTGTTGCTTCTTGACCTGCATACAGGTTTCTCAGGAGGCAGGTAAGGTGGTCTTGTATTCCCATCTCTCTAAGAATTTTCCAGTTTGTTGTGATCCACACAGTCAAAGGCTTTAGTATAGTAAATAAAGCAGAAGTAGGTGTTTTTCTGGAACTCTCTTGAAAGGTCCAGGAACCTTGCCAGTGGACAGTATTGTCAAACTTTAGGATTTTTGCCTAATCTGAAGATGACACATGGTACTTCTGTGTGGTTTTTTGGTCAAGTGTATTGAGGTACATGGACAGGGAAGCCTGGCGTGCTGTAGACCAGGAGTTGGACATGACTGAGCAACTGAACTGAACTGATTGAGCTACATAAATCATAAATGTGTAGCTTAGTGATTCTTTACAGTTAACACATAAAAAATAGACCACTTCCAGAATCCCAAAAGCCTCCTGTGCCCTTCCTAGTCATAACCCCCCTCAAGGATAACTTTATCCTCATTTTTAATACCATACATTAGTTCCCCTATTTAAAAATTTATATAAATGTAATCATATAATGCATGTGTATCTACATACTTTTAGCTCAGCATGATGTTTTTGAAAGTCATCCATGCAGTTACATGTCTACTATATGATATTCCATTACATGCCACAGTTATCTATTCTATTGTAAACAGACATTTGGTTTGTTTCTACTTTCTGTCTCTTTAGCATACTGTTGCTACATGGGACTGTCCTTTGTCATGAGTGTGGTGGTTAATAGATGACTTTATGCATTTGTCAAAACCTTGTATGTGTATCCTGCAAATAATTATCTTTTCTATATGTAAGTTAAAATTTTAATTTTTAACTGAAGAAAAAAGAATAGTAATGCTATCAACATTCTTATACATGCCTCTTGGTAAACATATGTACACATTTCTGATTTGTCTGTATCTATAGTAGAGTTGCAGGGTCATAGGCTGTGCATCTGTTCTGCTTTAGTTCATACTGCTGAACAGTTTTCCAAAGAACTTATACCAGTTTTGCCCCAGCAGTATATAAGTGTTCCATTTGTTAGCACTTAGTATTGTCTTTCTTTTTATTCTAACCGCCTAATAGTTGTGTCACATTATGATTTTAGTTTACACTTATTGATGAGTTATTAGACTTTCAAATTTCTTCTTTCATAAAACATTGATGTTTTCTCCCATTTATTTTGGGGGTTATTTGTGTTTTTCTCTTTAATTTGTAGAAGTTCTTTTTATATTCTGGAAACAAGTCCTTGGTTACATACATGTATTACACATATCTTCTCCTACTGTGTGGGTTTGCTAAGACTCCTAATGTTATTTTTTTATTGATCAGACATTATTAATTCTAATGTGGTCCTATATATCTTTATTTCCCTTTATGGTTAGTGCTTTTTGTGTTTTATGTAAGGAATCTTTTCCTGTCTCAAGGCATGAAGATATTTTCCTATGTTTTCTTCTAGCTTTATTGTTTGACCTTTCACATTTAGATCTACAATCAATCTTGAAACTGGTTTTTTGTTTGTTTGATGCAGGATGAAGGTCAGCATTATTTTTTCTCTTTATGGGTAGCCTCAAATTGACCATGCATCGTTATTGAATTTTCCCTACTTCACTGTCATTTTTGTCCTGAATCAAATGACTCTCAGTATAGTTTTGATATATGAATGAGGTGGAACATCTTTTTATGATTAGTGTCTATTTGCATTTATTTTTCTGTGAACTGTCCCTACTTTGTCACATTTTTATTGGGCTGTTGGTGTTTTTCTTTTCAGTTTTGTGAAACTCTTTATACATTAGAGATATTAGCCCTTTGTGATATAAATTGCAGAGATGTGTGTGTGTGTGTGTATGTGTATTCAGTTTATAATTCCCAGACCTTTTTATCTGTTATAATGAGAACTGTGTCACCTGCATGTCAAGAGTGTCTGTGTTTTCCGTGTCTAGAAGGACTTTAAGGATGGCCTTCTTTTCTCTACCTGCTGTTTTGGCCTCTCTGTGACGTACAGCTGTGCTCTCTGGGGTGGATTTGACAGGCAGAGGTGGGTCTGTTCTTGACTCGATTCCACAGGGTTAATCCTCATGCTCACCTGGCTGCACTTCTTTCCTCTTTTACCACTTTCACAGAGCATGTTCTGTCTTTGAAGACGTTATTGAAACCAACTGTTTCCTTTCTGTAGTGATAATATCTCTCCTCACAGACAACAGTCAAATATTTATTCAGGTAGTTTGTGGACTTGGAAAATACTTTTTTCAATTTATTCTTTCTAACCAGAAGGAGATTGTTTCCAGGTCAACTCTTTCTTTTGTTTTTTTGGTTTTTTTTTTTAGGTCAACTCTTTCTTTTATTCCATTCTTAAAAAAGAAAAATCTCGTCAGAAAGAGTACTGCATCATCATAAGAATTTTAGAAATTAAAAAAATATAAAGCAGAAGTGGGAGGTGAGAACTTTAAAAAAAGCATCTACAGTTCTAGCATCTGAAGACAGGCATTATTAAAAGTCTTAAGTCTTCCATTATGAAGAGTATGTATAGGGAATTCCCTGGTGGTCCAGCGGTTAGGATTCAGCATTTTAACTGCCTGGGCCTGGGTTCAGACCCCTTGTTAGGAAGCTAGGATCCTGCAAGTTATGGCACAACCAAAGAAGAAAAGAGAGTATGCTAATGCCCGAATCTCACATGATGCTGAATATTGGTCTGCCTCGTTTGTCGTAGTGAGTATGGCTTTGCTGAGAAGGTGGTGGAGGGGATGTTCATCATTGTCAACTCCATCACCATCAAGATTCACTCCAAGGCCTTCCACGCTTCTTTTGAATTGTGGCAGCTCCAGGGCTACAGTGTCAACCCCAACTGGCAGCAGAGTGACCTGCGCCTCACCCGCATCACTGACCCACACCGAGGAGAGGTAGTCCTGCCGTTGCAGGGGGGGAGAATGGGAGGGTTCAGAGGAGTCATTCTTGTTTTAAAAATGTATTTATTTTAATTGGGGAAGAATTGTTTTACAATATTGTGTTGGTTTCTGCCAGACATCAACGTGAATCAGCCTTAGGTATACACATATCCCCTCCTTTTACCTCCCTCCCACCTTCCTCTCCATCCCACCCTTCTAGGTGGTCACAGTTTGAGCTCCCTGTGTCATATAGCAAATTCCCAATGACTATATTCCTGTCTTGGGTCAAAGGCTTCCCCATTCTTGGGAACCCAAGAATCCCTTCTGTCTAGTGTCACTTTTCCTCAGTTAAGAATTTGTGATACACTGCTTGTGAGTAGGATCCCAGCTAAGAATGGTGGAGGTCTCTGCCTTGCCAGTCTTTTCCCCTTGGACTTCCTGCCTCTTGATTAATTTCATCCATAATATTAAGGGATTTTACTTTTTTTCCTTCTAGGTTTTAACATTTAAGGAAATAACTTGGCAAACACTTCGAATTGAGGCAGATGCTACAGACAATGGTGATCAGGACCCAGTCACCACTCCATTGAGGCTTATTACCAACCAAGGCAGGATCCAGATAGCCCTCAAGAGAAGAGTGAGTATGTTCGCTGTCCTTACGAAACATCTATCTTTTGTTCTCTCAGCGCTGGAGTTTGTATTTCCTCTTTTTGTGTGTTATTGGCCCCTGAAATGACATTTGAAAGGGGAGGATCTGCAGTTCAGTGTTGCACTGAATCTACTATTGAGGGAACATGTCTACCTCTGTTGTTTTAATTTTGGAAATAACAGTTTTACCTGTATATGGGGGCATAGGCAGTTGATTATTGCTGCTTTTTGTTAATCACAGAAAACTTTTGTAGTTTGGTAAGAAATTGACTCTCCAAAGTACTTCATATTTTCCTTTCTTGTGTTGAGGATTGAAAAGCCATCTCTGAACTTGGTTGGGCAGTAGTCACTTTGAGGAGTTGGGATGGTACCAGATGTGGAAGCTTCTGTTCTCTGTGACCCCTCCAGACCAAAGATTGCAATGTGATAGCTTCCAAGCTGATGTTCCTGTTGGATGACCTGCTCTGGGTGCTAACGGACTCGCAGCTCAAGGCTATGATGAAATATGCAGAGTCGCTGAGTGAGGCCATGGAGAAGGCTGCCCAGCAGAGAAAGAGCCTGGCCCCTGAACCTGTACAGGTTAGAGGTGAAACAGAGACCCTCGGTGGTGGTGGGGAGATGGCAAGCCAGACCTAATTCACACCAGCATAGGTGGAGCCTAGATTTTGTCCCGCTTATTTGGGGAAATGTGTCATTCACTTCTGTATGTACATAGGCTCTGCCTGTGCCTTTATCCCGTTTTTCTATTCATCTGGTGCCTCTAGTGTGTTAGGTGTACAATGCTGGTCACGGGACAGCCTCTTGTTCCTCACCCTGGAACTCTTGCTGTCTTAAAATATGGACCATAAACAAGTTATTGCAATGTGGTGTGATAAGTGCTATAATAGAGGTGAACACTGTGCCGCGAGAGCACAGGAGAGGGATCCTGGGCTGAAAGAGGGCGCTTAGGGGAGACTTCCTGGGAGAAGTGTGTTAGCCTCAGTCAGATACGTTCTGGGTAGGAGGGAAGCTTAGAAGGCAGTTCAAATGTCAAAACAGGACTCTGACAGTTACTAGATTAATTATAATTTGGCTTCTTTGGATTCTTTGGGTTGTTTAGATGGGACAGACCTATGTGAGCTACCAGGCATGCCGTTATGAGGGGCATCACTGTACCTTAGGAAAGACTTAATGGGTTTGAAGTAAAAAGATGTATGTTTATTTATATGAATGTAATACCACATATAATTGTTATCATTATCACATAGAAAAGCAAATGAAGTTCCACCATATAAAGAAAAAAGTGTAAAATTCTTCAAGGCTATAAAAATGAAATCTTAGGAGATATTACTATTCAGTGTATAATAAAGTATGTATGATTAAAAAGAGTGATTATTGAGAGGGAAGGGACATCTTATCAAATTGTGGTTTTCTTCAGGCTGAACTAAAGCTTTAAGAAAGCCACCGAGGAAGCTGTCCGGGTCTGGACTTCTTTTCTTTTCGGGTCTGGACTTTTTGTTTTTCTCTGTCACACATAGATCACCCCACCTGCTCCCAGCGCGCAGCAGTCCTGGGCCCAGGCGTTTGGTAGCAGCCAGGGCAGCAGCAGTAGCAGCAGCAGCCGCCTCAGCCAGTACTTTGAGAAATTTGATGTGAAAGAGTCCTCCTACCATTTGCTCATCTCGCGCCTGGACCTGCACGTTTGTGATGATAGCCAGTCCCGAGAGCCAGGTATCCCATGAGGCCCGAGCCTGGGTGGGTGGTCCATCGCTGCCTGCAGCTCTGGGGGATGTAAGGCTCTTTTCAAGATCTGTTGGGGTACTTTGTTGGCTTCGCATATCACAGTCTTCCTTGGGTCTCAGCATTCCTGGGGCAGCTCTCTGTTACTGCTCATCAGCCTTTAGGGCGCAGCAGAACCGCCTGTGAGACAGTGAAATACAGGGGCTGGGCTTCTTCCCAGACCTCACTAAATTGGAATCCTCAGGGATAAGCCCAAGCAGTGTATACTTTTTTTTTTCCTCCCTAGTGGGCATTGCTGAGCACTGTTACAAGCTTTCTAGAGGGTAAATTCAACTATAAGAAACCTCAGAATTTTCAGATCTTTGAGTCAATTTATATATAAATGTGTTCTTCCCAAGCAGAGAGGTTACAGTGTGTTCTTGTCATACTTTTTCATTCATTAGCACAATTGTTATTAAATACACATACACACTTACTCAGAATGTAAAGTAATTGGCTCATTTCTTTCCTTTATAAGTCTTAGGGAAATCACTTCACCTCTCTGAGTTTCTTCATCTGTGAACTTGAATTAAATCATTTCTTACTCACAGGTTGTTATCAGGCTCAAATGAGTTAATGTACTGCACTTGGAGGACCTTAATAATAGGCCAGTGTTTGGATTATTATTTCTCTGCTGCTGGTTCCTTCAGTTCTCTTTGCTCCCCCTAGGCTCCCCTTTGCTGCCAGCTCTGGGTTTAGATGCCAGCATGTGGTAGCTTGTTCTCTTGCTGCCTTATCGTCTCTGGAGGTTGTGCTTGCCTCTTAATGAGACTGAGACTCATCTTCCCTGGGGGAACGAGCTACCTTTTATTCCTGGGTCACCAGGCTCCACTACCTCTGACTCTGCTCTGTCTTGGTGTTGAAGGGACTTAGCCTCCCTCCACTCCCTAGATGAGAGAGCTGGAAGGCGCGGTGACAGGGTAAAGATGGCTTCTGCCACTCACTGGTTTGCTACCCACTCATTTTGAAAGTTCTTTGCTAAAACAATTATTATTTTGTTCGGTTATTTCTTCCAAGTGTTACTATGAAGACTTTGGAGTTTTGTTTTGTTATGATTCCTTTCAGAAATCTTCATTAAAAATACACTGTGGAGAGTTTCATCCTCTTGCTAGATGAGGGTGTAGAGCCCTGTCTTCTTCATGTAGCAGGGTTCTATAATCCACACTAAGATGTGAATGGCTAGCCCTCCCTGAAGCCCCCATTTATTTATGAAGCTGGATTAATCTATTCGGTGGATTTTAGGGACAGTTTTGATGAGACAGAGGGAAAACACCCAGCCAACCATACCCAGATGTGGCATATGACTGTGTGAAAGGCCAAGGGACACAAGGAGTTCTCGTGACTTTGATTCTTCCCCTTGGATTTGGGAAGAAAGAAGGAAGAACTCCATGTTATAGGAAGGTCTCTAAGATTGTCTGGAGTTGTCCTGGTCAATATGGCAGCCTCTAGCCACTAATGGACACTTGAAATATGGGCTGATCCAAATTGAGTGAAGTTTTGTTTTGTTTCGCCATGCATACAGCATGTAGCATCTTAGTTCTCCAACCAGGGATCAAACCCATGCCCCCTGCATTGGAAATGTGGAGTCTTAACCACTGGACCACCAGGGAAGTCCTGCTGATCCAGATCCCACAAGTGTAACATACACATGGGATTTCCAAGATATAATACAAAAAAAGATGCAGAATACCTGGATAATTATTTTCATATTGATTGCATGTTAAATAATAATCTTTGGAGTGTATTGGTTTAAAGTGTAATAATAAAATTAATTTTACTTTTTGAAAGAAAACCTTTTTTAATATAGCTGCTAGAAAATTTTAAATTATTTATGTGGCTTATGTTACATTTCTGTTGGATAGCACTGCTCTAGAACTCTCTGTCCAATATGGTAACAAATAGAGAGAGACATGTGGCTATTTAAATTAAAATAAAAATTAAATAAAGTTAAAAATTCAGTTCCTCATTTGCTCCAGTCACATTACAAGTAACCTATGGGCCCTAGAAGATGTCCGTCGTCACAGAAAGTTCTTTTGGACAGCACTGCTCTAGGGACTCCTTGAAGGCTATATCTGTCGGCTTTTTCTTTAAGGACACTATAGCCTGAATGTTGGGGCCTCTGACTGACCCATTTATCTATCCCTTGGTGTTGGAGGTGATGTTGTTGGAAACTTTGTAGGTCATTGAGGACAGGGTGGCTTGGGGTGGGGCAGCACTGTCTCTTAACATCAAACTGGAGCAGCTCACCCTTCAGGCTTCCCGGAGGAGGTGAGTGGTTGATGGGGAAAAGAGTGTCATCTGCCTCTTTAATTATTTCCCTCAGGTTAAGGGCTGTGAGCCGAAGCTTTCTTTCTCTCTCTTCAGGGTAGGCTATCCTCCTCCCACCATCTCACTGGAGAATTTTAGTCATTTATATACACTATTTACCATTTATTTGTCATATATGATTATGTGTTTATAATTATATATGCTGAAAATTGGTAATTATATTTGATTTAGATTTTTTAATTCTAGATCATATTTTAATATGTTCAGTCTGCATAGTCGATTGTTCTTTTAGTTCCAAATAAATCCAATAGGAGCATGGCTGTGAAACACTCTCCCTCCAGTAGCCTAGGTCATGCATTTCAACTGGGATGCTATCACCATCAGTAGATAAAAATTCACTTTTTTCTTTTAAACAGATACATATTGATGGGCTTCCCCAGTGGCTCAGTGGTAAAAAATCTGCCTGCACTGCAGGAGATGCAGGAGACACACATTCGATCCCTCGGTGGAAGATACTTTGGAGAAGGAAATGGCAATTCACTGCAATATTCTTGCTGGGAACATTCAATGGACAGAAGAGCCTTCAGTACAATAGTCCATAGGGTTGCAAAGAGTCAAAAATGACTGAGCATGCACGCAATATTTATGGATATATAATTCACATACCATATCATTCACCCATTTAGAATATACAACTCAGTGTTTTAAAGTGCAGTCATAGGGTTGTGTGATCATCACTGCAATCTAATTTGAGAACATTTTTGTCATCCCTAAAAAAAAACTCTGTACCCACTAGCTACTAGTCCCCATTTTGCAGCTCTGAACAGCTACTGAGTTTTCTGTCTTGATGCGTGCCTGTTCTGGACATTGAAAATTGGTGAGGAGTAGGGATGAAAAAAAATCTTAGCTATAACAGTGCTTAACTCGATTTCACAACTCGATTTCACAAAGTTTTATTCCTTAGTATTTAATTTCTCTTATTGAGTTTGCTTGGGTATCATATGAGCAATGTTGATATTGAGTTCATGGAAGATCAGGGCTATAAACTATGGCAGATAGATGGCTGTGATTAGAGGACTTTGAGTCTTCAAAGTCCGATGGTGAGAGGTGGCTTGTACATACTTCTTGGCTACCAATGGCTGCTTCGTCAGTGTTGATTATATTTAATCCTTGGGGTATTTGGCCATGCCATGTGGTATGCACGATCTTAGTTCCCTGACCAGGAATTGAACATGTGCCCCCTGCAGTGAAAGTGCAGAGTCTTACCCATTGGACTGCCAGGGAATTCCCGTTAATGCTTAGTACTTTTGTAATTTGAACTTTGAGAATTAAATACAAATAGTTTATATTTTATTATTTAATTCCACAAATTATTTGACAAGTCAGTAATTTAATTGTGTTGAAAAAATGTTGACACCATCTGAATGAATATCTAACACCTAGTTAAGCAAAGAGTCGGACACAACTTAGTGACTCAAAGAACAACAAAGTTAAGCTAAAAGTTATTTTCTCATATTAAGTGAAAGTTAAAGGTTAATGAAAAATAATTTTAAGACATTAATTTAAAATTTTTTTTTATTTCAAGCATAATTATAACTAAAAATTTGATTATATCACTTATGTATTTATATAAATTGCTAAAATGCATACATGATTCTATACATTATAATTTATATAAGAAATAAATTACATTAAAAGTTACTCAGTAAATATAAAATTAATTTCAATATTAATAGCTTTAAATCTTTAATTTAACTTAAACAAATTATTTATTTATTTGTCCACATGGCATGCAGGATCTTCCCCAACCAGGGACTGAGCCCATGCCTCCTGCATTGGTAGTGAGGAGTCTTAACCATTGGACCACCAGGGAAGTCCCAAATCTTTTAATTTAATTTTTAACTTAAAAAAATAGTTCAGTCTTTCTTAACCTTGCATTAAATAAAAGGAGTAAGCTTTAGTACATATGATAGACAGTATATCTGTGGTATTAAATTTCATGGAGACGGGGCAGTAAGGAAAATACATCTAAACAGGCTCCTAAGAGGTACTAATGATGACAAAAAGGTTGAGCAGCAGTAACGTTGGTGTAGGTTTGCCTCTTGGTAGGACGGTGAATGGTCCAGAGCTCGGGGTGGTGGTGCCTAGATTGGATTGGTACAGCAGCTGACAGTTAGAAGGTCCCACGGTATTTCCCTTTACCTGGAAATAGATGGAAGTGCAGAACAGAACAGGTGTCCTTCATCACACATATGGAGAAGACATAGCCCCTGTTCTTACAGTGCTTAGAGTCCAGTTGGAGAGATAAGATAGAAACATGGAAAGTTCATTCATTTAGTCAGAATCGAATTCAGGATAAACAATAGAATATTTGACTTATTGCAGACAAACTTTGATTTGTGTACACTCTTCTGTGTGTTTATAATGTCCTTGTTAGTGCAGTGTTTTTGTGTTCCATCATTCTTTGTTTGTGCAGTGTGTGACGACTGTCTGATATTACAGTTTTAGCTAAGATATGAAAGGAAATAATATTGGTCCCTGTTTGTTGGAGAATTTGGCTTATGCCTCTCCAGGTGTTGTGTTGAGAGGCAGCAGTACTCGGATTGCTGGGTTTGGGGGAACCAGTCTGCCAACGCTGTCAGATGTGCCTGTGGGAGACCTAAGATTGGGATTCTGGAATCCTGAGTTTTGCTGCTTCTTTTGTCTCTTGGGATATCTGGCAGCCATTTACAGAGATAATGGAATATGCTTTTCTAAAAAAATAAAAAACAAACTTTTAGAGTATATCCTTTGCAGTTCAAAAGAGGATAGCCTCAGCCTCGCAAGTCAGCTGCCATTTTAGCCTTTGGCTGTACTCATGAATCAGCCAGGCCTGGGAGCCGACCCTCAGGAGGACTTTTCAGTGCTTCAGGTGGTGTTTAGGCCTCCTTGTTTCTTATGCTGCTTTTCACCATTGTTTGTCTTTGTAGGTGTCTCTGCAAACAGACTCATGGGTGGTGCAATGCAGCTAACCTTTCGCAAGATGGCATTTGACTATTACCCCTTCCACTGGGCAGGTAGGAGAATGCTGAATGTGTGCAGTTTTAGTGTGGCTGAGGTGTTGAAGACTGATGCCTGAGTTTACCCCTAATTGTCCAGCAGAAGGTTGCCTAGGATTGCAGCACAGGCTCAGAGAGGTGTTGGCTATAGTCTTTTTTTCAAGAGGACATCTCTGGAAGCTTGCAGGGTCTTCTGTTGATGACTGTTTATCATTGATGAGAAGTAGGAGGGGAGGCAGTACCTGAGATGTGGCATTTGACTCTGTGCTCTGCCCCTTACTTCCACTAATTTTAGAGCCTCTCCAGTGGTCCATGGTCAAAGATGCAGTCAGCAGCTGGCCTTTAGGGAGCCTTAGGAAAAATCACATACAGAGTCCAGAAGAGCTTGAGTGCTCTCACGAGATAATTTTTTCTTAACTTAGAGAATTTTGGATTGGTGGTGAGGGATCAGATTCTGAACTATGGAAAGCTATACCAATAGAAAAGAAAAACTAAAACATTGGATCATGATCTTAGACTAAAATCTTTTTGCCTTATTGCACAGGTGATAGCTGTAAACATTGGGTGCGTCACTGTGAGGCCATGGAGACCCGAGGCCAGTGGGCCCAGAAGCTGGTGACAGAATTTCAGAGTAAGATGGAGAAGTGGCATGAGGAGACAGATCTGAAACCACCCTGGCACCTGGGGGTAGACTCTTCCTTCCGGAGGAAAGCAGGTGGGTTATGACGAGCTGGAGGAATCCCATAACTTTGTCACTTGACATTTGCTTTTGAGTATCCAGTGGCAACAAAGTACTGGCCTGGCTAATTATGCTAACTTTATCGCACCAAGAGACATTCATGACTTCTTTTCTTTATGGGTCCTGTTTGTCTCCAGGCAGAGCTGCAATGAGGAAGAGCAGTTGTTAGCATCTCTATTCAGTATTCATCTCTGTTGCCTTGGTCTGAAGAAGGTTATTTTTGAGTTCCCTCCAGAAGCTTGCCAGTGTTGACAAGCTCTTTTCCACACATACCGTTAACGATCTTGAGTTTTTACTTTCTGAATTCTGTTAATAATGAGAATTGAGTGTATCCGAATCTCTTTCCCACCTTCTTATTTTTACTAGATTCTTTCTCCAGTCCTCGAAAGAACCCCCTTGAAAGAAGCCCTTCTCAGGGCCGGCAGACAGTCTTTCGGCCTCCAGCATGGAATCGCCTGCGCTCTAGCTGCTTGGTCATAAGGGTGGATGACTTGGACATCCACCAGGTAAGGAGCCCATGATATGGGGAAACAGGGCTGCAAAGAGTCAGGGAAGCAGTTCATTCATTCATGTCTCTGCTTTTTAACATGCTGTGTAGGTTTGTCATAGCTTTTCTTCCATGGAGCAAGCATCTTTTAATTTCATGACTACAGTCACCATCTGCAGTGACTTTGGAGCCCAAGAAAATAGTCTGTCACTGTTTCCATTTTTTCCCTATCTCCTTGTCATGAAGTAAGAAGTGATGGGACCAGATGCCATGATCTTCTTTTTTTCTTTTTCTTTTTGTTTTTTCATTTTTCATTTATGTTTTTCTTTTTGTTTTTTTCATTTTTTTCTTTTTGTTTTGATATTAGTTTTTTGAATGTTGAGCTTTAAGCCAGCTTTTTCACTCTCTTCTTTCACTGTCATCAAGAGGCTCTTTAGTTCCTCTTCGCTTTCTGCCATAAGGTTGGTGTCATCTGCATATCTGAGGTTATTGAAATTTCTCCCGGCAATCTTGATTTCAGCCTGTGCTTCATCTAGTCCAGCATTTTGCATAATGTACTCTGCATATAAATTAAATAAGCCAGGTGACAATATACAGCCTTGACGTACCCCTTTCCGAAGTAGGAACCAGTCCATTGTTCCATATCTGGTTCTAACTATTACTTCTTGACCTGCATACAGATTTCTCAGGAGGCAGGTCAGGTGGTCTGGTTTCCTCTCTTTAAGAATTTTCCACAGTTTGTTGTGATCTACACAGTCAAAAGCTTTAGCATAGTCAATAAAATAGAAGTAGATGTTTTTCTGGAATTCTCTTGCTTTTTCTATGATCCAATAGATGTTAACAATTTCATCTCTGGTTCCTCTGCATTATCTAAATCCAGCTTGAACATCTGGAAGTTCTCGGTTCACATACTGTTGAAACCTAGCTTGGAAATTTTGAGTACTACTTTGCTAGCATGTGAGATAAGTGCAATTGTGCAGTAGTTTGAGCATTCTTTGGCATTGCCTTTATTTGGGATTGGAATGAAAACCAACATTTTCCAGTCTGTGGCCACTGCTGAGTTATCCAAATTTGCTGGCATATTGAGTGCAGCACTTTCACAGTATCATCTTTTAGTAAGGAGTTCATGATCTGAGCCACAGTCAGCTCCTGGTCTTGTTTCTGCTGACTGTATAGAGCTTTTCCATCTTTGCTGCAAAGAATATAGTCAATCTGATTTTGGTATTGACCATCTGGTGATGTCCATGTGTAGAGTCTTCTCTTGTGTTATTGGAAGAGGGTGTTTGCTATGACCGGTGTGTTCTCTTGGCAAAACTCTCTTAGCCTTTGCCCTGCTTCATTCTGTACTCCAAGGTCAAACTTGCTTGTTACTCCAAGTATCTGTTGACTTCCTAATTTTGTATTCTAGTCCTCTATGATGAAAAGGGCATCTATTTTTGGTGTTAGTTCTAGAAGGTCTTGTAGGTCTTCATAGAACCATTTAACTTCAGCTTCTTCGGTGTTAGTGGTTGGGGCATAGATTTGGATTACTGTGATATTGAATGGTTTGCCTTGGAAACGAACAGAGCTCATTCTGTCGTTTTTGAGATTGCACCTAATTACTGCATTTTGGACTCTTGTTAGCTATGATGACTACTCCATTTCTTCTAAGGGATTCTTACCCACAGTAAATGTAATGGCCTGATATAATTCCTCTGAATACCCCACTACAAACCTTTCATGAAAAGATGAACTCATAGGTCCTGTTTGTCAGGTGTGAGAATGCCTGGCATCCATGTGAAAATCACTCTACTCCCTGTGACAGACACTGGAAGAATTATAGAGGCTTTATCCTACCTCAGAGGAAACAGGAAATTCTGTTTGGGGTGCGGTACAGATGCTAACAGCCACTTGTCTTTGCCTAGGTTTCAACAGCTGGACAGCCCAGTAAGAAGCCATCGACACTCCTGTCCTGCAGTCGGAAGCTTCACAACCTCCCTACTCAGGTCTCTGCCATTCATATTGAGTTCACAGAGTATTACTTCCCTGATAATCAGGAGCTGCCAGGTAAGCATCTGCCCTGGTCATTTCTTGCTGTCTAACTCATCCTGCTCACAATAGTCAGCCTTGGAGTCTCCGCTCCTAGTCTGTTGGTTAGGAGTTTTAGGCGTTTGAGTTAGTGTAGCACACTTTTGTTGAAAACTCTGCCCTGAAGATTCCTTGACTCTTTTTAATTAATTTATTTTTTGCTGTGCTGGGTCTTTGGCTGCACGTGGACTTCCTCTAGTGGTGAGCAGAGGCTCGTCTCTGGCTGCAGCGCATGGACTTCTCACTGTTGGCGTCTCTTGTTGTGGAGCACAGGCTCTGGGTGCACGGCTCCGCGGTTGTGGCACACGGGCTTAGCTGCCCTCTGGCACGTGGGATCCTCTGGACCGGGGGTCAAACCCATGTCCCGTAAATTAGCAGGTGGACTCTTAGCCACCCGACCACCAGCGAAGTCCGACACCTTTGCTCTCTTGGTAATAAAATGAATATTAGCGTCAAGCTGCTACTTCATTCGTGTCAGTTCTTTTTTCTCTGCTTTCCAGTTCCCTGTCCCAATCTTTACATTCAGCTAAATGGTCTGACATTTACTGTGGATCCTGTCAGCTTACTCTGGGGAAACCTCTTCTGCCTGGATTTGTACCGCAGCTTGGAGCAGTTCAAAGCTATCTACAAGCTGGAAGATTCCTGCCAGAAAGATGAACATCTGGACATCCGCCTGGATGCCTTCTGGTTGAAGGTAGGGTAGAGAGTGGGATTTCTGTTCCCTATTGGCAGCCACAGTTGCATTTCTGCCATGGCTGTAATCAAGGTTCTGCACTGCCCATTGGATAGAAGGAACGCAGTTTTACAACCCAAGTGGTCTGTCACGCATGTATTAATGGTGGGTTGCAGAGATGCTCAGCCGGCCGTTCTGAACTGGGTCTCATTTTCTCTCTGAAGGTGAGCTTCCCGCTGGAGAGGAGAGAGCGGGCTGTGTTGCATCGTCCCCAGTCCCTTGTCCTGTGTGCATCAGGCATGACTGCCACCAATACCCGTCATGCTCCACACTGTAGCCGTCCAGACCTCCAGAGTCTCTTCCGGGGTTTTGCTGCTACTGAGTTCTTTCATTCCAGTTATGTTCAGTTTCCCAAGGTACCAGGTGGCTTCAGCCTTCTGCACATGTTTTTTATGGATCACGCCTTCCAGATGGATTCCTGCCTCCCACAGTCTAGTGTCCTCCCCCCTCAGAGGCTTAAGGCTTCCCAGGACCTCTGGTCCATCCACTTCACCCAGATCTCCTTGGACTTTGAGGGAACAGAGAACTTCAAAGGCCACACTCTGAACTTTGTGGCCGCCTTCCCCTTGTCCATTTGGGCCTGCCTACCCCTCCGCTGGCAACAAATGCAGGCACGAAAGCTCCGTATGGCCACAGAAGGGAGGCTGAAACCGTCCGCCAGCTTTGGCAGTCCTGTCCATTCTGAGGTCCTTGCGCCTGACACTGTGTCCCATCAGAGGTCAAAGACTGAGCATGATTTGAAAAGCCTGTCAGGCCTTCCGGAAGTCATGGAGATCCTGAAAGAAGGCAGCGGTGGTGTGGACAGCAAAGGGCCTCTGATGGAGCTGGAGGACACGGCGGGCGTGCATGTGCTTGTGCACTCCCCTGCGCATGTCCGCCTGCGGCTTGACCACTACCAGTACCTGGCTCTCCTTCGCCTGAAGGAGGTGCTGCAGGGTCTGCAGGAGCAGCTGACTAAGGATACAGAGGCCATGACTGGGGCTCCCCTGCAGAACCAGACAGCCTGCATTGGCATCCTCTTCCCCAGCGCGGAGGTGGCTCTGCTCATGCATCCTCCCCCTGGGGCTGATGAGGCTGACTCTGAGGGTTCAGATACTACCAGCCTCATAGATTCAGAGCTGTCTGCTTCAGAGGACCGGGAGCTGAAGTCTGACGCCTCCTCAGAACAGGGCCCAGCAAGCCCCAAGAAGGTTCTGGAAGACGGTGGCATTGAACATCTGGATGCATCCCAGGACAGGCCACTGCCTCTCCACAGCAATGGAGAAGTACAGGATGCAGGGTCTCTTGCCCAGCAGGAGGCAGGGAAGGGCCACGAGGCAGTTGATTCCTTACAAGCCAAGAGACTGAGCAGAGCCCAAGCATCTGACTCACCAGCTGAGTTGAAGCCCCCAGGGAGCAGGGATTCTGCTGTGAATGGTCAGGGCGAGCTCATCCCTTTGAAGAATATAGAGGGAGAATTATCTAGTGCTATTCACATGACCAAGGATGCCACCAAGGAGGCACTGCATGCCACCATGGACCTCACCAAGGAAGCTATGTCCCTGACCAAGGATGCCTTCAGTCTGGGCAGAGACCGAATGACCTCCACCATGCACAAGATGCTGTCTCTGCCACCGGCCAAGTGAGTGGTTCTCTGCCTCCCTCAGTCGCCTCATCTTTTCCTTCGAGCTCTGGCCATGGGGCTCAGGCCTCCTGCCACGCACACGTGTAGACTGGGAAGTGCTTGTAGCCCAGGAGTGTGTGTAAAACGGGCTAGTTAATGTGGCAAAGGCTCTAGTTTTCAGAGTTGTCTGGAGAGCAGCAGAAGAACTTTCAGGTATTTAGAGGATAATAGGTATTTCAGTCAGAGATTTTATTTTCAGGACTACATCTAATCCTGTGATGGGGGAGAACCCAGAATTATAGTAAAATAACAATCCCATGAATTTTCACATGCCTCCATGTATCTTAGTCTGGTCTTGGGCAATTTTCAAGTCAACATGTATTGCTTCATAGCATCAAGTTATCTCTTTCACTGATTCCCTATTGTTGATACAGATACGCTGTATCAGAATAATAATGCCAGTATGATATTTTATTCTTTTCTGTGGGCCCTCGTGTAATGTTTTGTTTGACATAATCCCACCACAGCCTGAGGAGTTCACTGCAGATGTTTGTAGCCCAGTTCACAGCTGAGGAAATGGAGGCTTCAGAGACCAGAGCCCACGGATCCTGTCTTTTATACATTGAAAAGCGGGAGCTTTGGATTTGCTCTTTCTGGTACACCTATCAATGTCTGCCAGGGTAATGAAGGGAGGATTTCATCCATTCATGTAACAAATATTTTCTGACCCTGTGCTCTGCACGAGACCCTGTGTTAGGCATTGGGGCTATAGTAGGGAGTAAGCGGAAAACACAGAAAAGTGCAATCAGAAGGGAGGGAAGGTATAGATTTTTTTCCACTAGTGTCTGTGCGTTCAGAAAAGATAATGAGAACTATGGAAAATCTTTGCTGAGAAGATCAATGGATTTAGAGCTTTTGTTTAAGAGGATTTTCTTAAATCTGTCTCAAAGCAAAACCTGCAAGTGTGCTACTACCTGCTTGGCCAAGGTAGCCTAGGAGGAAAGAAGAGGAAAGCTTAAAAGATAAATTATATAATAATACTAGGCAACATTTATTGACTGCTCTGTATGTGTCAGAAACTGTCCTAAATATTACAATATTAACCCAATGAATTATTATAAGAACCCTATAAGGAAGGAACTAATATCACTCCCCATTTTACAGATAAGGAAACTGAGGCTCAGAGAGGTAAGAAACTTGCTCAAGGTCATACCGCTTGTGAGTGTTAGGGTGAGGATTGAGAGCCTGAAATCCCAGTCACCAAATGTGCTGCCTTTTCCAAATGGAGATGCGTGAGGGTTGGGAACAGAGGAGAGGTGAAAGGAGAAAAGGAAAGGTGTGTGTAACACAAGCTCGTTCAGACACCAGCATCGTTCCCCCCGCCCAGGCCGGTGGCCTTTTCTCAGGCCCCTTTCTCCAGGGCCCCCTGCGCAGTCAGCCCTGCCAGTCCGTCCGTCCGGAGCATTTGTAACTGCAGTCACTGACACTTCTCTGAAGTAGTCATCTTTTTCCTTGGCTGCTCTCTTCCTTTCATCCTATAAATGTAACTGTTTCACAGCACTAGGCTATCCATATTCTGATCACTTTTATCATCATTTTATTTTTTTAATTATAAAAATGGGGTCTTCCCTGGCAGTTCAGTGATTAATAAGACTCCCTGTTTCCACCATAAAGGGCCTGGGTTCAGTCTGTGGCTGGGGAACTAAGATCCTGCATGCCACGTGGCATGGCACCCACCCCACCGAAAAATTATCAAAATAATTTGTGTTCATTTTGTCGACAATGTAGAAAATAATAAAGAAGAAAACATAAAAGTCACTGTAATGACACTATCCTGTGCATGCGTGGCATGCTCAGTTGCTGCAGCCGTGTCTGACTCTTTGTGACCCACTGAATTGCAACCTGCCAGGCTCCTCTGTCCGTGGAATTCTCCAGCAAGAATACTGGAGTGGGTTAGCATGCCCTCCTTCAGGGGATCTTCCCAACCCAGGGATTGAACCCATGTCTCTTATGTCTTCTGCATTGGCAGGCAGGTTCTTTACCACTGGCACCACCTGGAAAGCCCGACACTATCCAGAGATAGCCCTTATTGACTTTTGGATCTTCCAGATTTTATACATATATTTGTGTATCCATGTGAATGCTTGTATGTGTTTACACATATGAAGTACACACATTTTTTTAAATAGGATTATGTTATTTCTATAGAATACAGAAAATTTCCAGTTTTATTCACTTTGTTTAATTATGAATAGATTCCCATTCATGAAGTATTTGAATATGTAATTTTTAATTGCTCTATTTTTGTTGTTGTTCAGTTGCTCACTTGTGTCCGACTCTTTGTGACCCCATGGACTGCAGCACGCCAGGCTCTGTCCTTCACCAACTCCTGGAGCTTGCTCAAACTCATGTCCATCGAGTTGGTGATGCTATCCAACCATCTCATCCTCTGTCATCCCCTTCTCCCGGCTTCAGTCTTTCCCAGCATCAGGGTCTTTTCCAGTGAGTCAGTTCTCATCAGGTGACCAAAGTATTGGAGCTTCAGCTTCAACATTAGTCCTTCCCATGAATATTCAGGACTGATCTCCTTCAGGATGGACTGATTTGATCTCCTTGCAGTCCAAGGGACTCTCAAGAGTATTCTCCAACACCATAGTTCAAAAGCATCAATTCTTTGGTGAATTGCTCTATTATATTCTTACAAGTAGATGTATCATAATTTATTCATCCAATTCACAATCTAGACTGGGGGGGTCATGTAGTCTGGTTCTACTTTTTTCTCAGGTGAAACCAATGCTGTGTTAAATGTTCTTATTTTTGTGAACATGACTCTTTATTCGTATCTAAATCTTTAGAATAAAACCTAGGAAGTGGAATTATTGGGTCACACACTACAAACATTTTAAGGTTCTTGATGAATTTGCCAAACTTTCAGATTTAGATCATTCTGCATTTTTGAATACATTTTGTTAACTCTTGAACAATATGGGAGTTAGGGGCACTGAATCTCTGTGCAGTTGAAAATCTGCATGTAATTTATAGTTGGCCTTGCCTATAAAATGATTCCAGCATATCTGTGGTTTCAACACATCCATGGATTCAACTAGCTGTAGATCATGTAGTACTATGTGTGCATGTTCAGTCGCTAAATCATGCCCAACTCTTTGCGACCCCATGGATGATAGCCCTCCAGGCTCCTTTGTCCATGGGATTTCCCAGGCAAGTATACTGGAGTGGGTTGCGATTTCCTTCTCCGGGGATCTTCCTGACTCAGGGATTGAACCTGCGTCTCCTGCATTGCAGGTGGATTCTTTACCACTGAGCCACCTGGGAAGCCCTGTAGTACTATATTATGTACTACTGAGAAAAGAATACATATAAGTGAACCTGTGCAGTTCAAACCTGTGTTGTTCAAGGGTCAGCTGTACTTTTTCTCTTGGTTATTTTGTCCATTGCCTCACTTCTGCAGGAGTCCTTGTTTTCAGGCCTGACTTCCTTCCCTCCCCTGCTGTTCCTTTAAAACTATCTACTGCACATAGTTGCACATGGATCTCCAGGGGTGCCTTAAACCTCACATGTGTAAAACTAAATTCCTTATCCCAGACCAGCTCTTTTTTTCTTTCCTCATTCTCCTGCTCATTCAAGCTCTGCCTCTTCCAGGCATTTGTCAGGTTCTGAGCATACTTTTAAACTTAAGCATACTTCAGAATCATCTGGAGGCTTGTTAAAACACAGAGTGCTGAGCCCTACCCCCAGAGTTCCTCTTCTAGGAGGTCTGAGATGAAGCCTGAGAAGTTACTTTTTAATGAATTCCCCTAATGCTCCTATGAGGGTGACACTGAGTATAGGGCTCTAGGGAGTCTCACATCAGTTTTCCCTGTCTGTTCCCACAGGTGGAGTATTTTAGTAAATTATTAGTTGATTTCCTTGTTGGATGTCTTTCTGTCTCTAGCTTATTTGAAAAAGGCAGGTCAAACTTCCTAAAACACAGGTATAATCCTATTATTTCCCTATTCTAAACCTTTCTGGCTTTTTCTTTATTCTGAGTTGAGTTTGACCTTCTTAGTGTGGCATTATCAATTATTTTGATATATTCATATGGCACATTATTGTTTTGGTTTTTTTTTTAAATAGATTGTTTTCTAGAGCAGTTTTAGCGTCATAGCAATATTGAGTTGGCAGTACTGAGATTTCTCATCTGCCTCCAACACGTCACAGTTTTCAGAGCACTTTCATGCATTGTCTTTTATCCAGGGTTTCCTATGATCTGGCTGCAACTCATGTGGTTAAATGAAAAAAGCACTTAGCAAGAAGTTAGGAGACTTAGGTTCTTCCTAATTCTTTTAGCTGAAACTGAGTCAGTTTCTTCACCTATAACACAGGAGGGTGTACTCAAAAGGTCTTTACAGGTTTCTTTAAAGAAACCTTTTAACTTTATCTTCTGTTGCTCTCCCCCAGCAAAGCCTATGCTCTAGCTGAGCTGAGCTGCTTGCTAGTCTCCAAGGTACATTTTGTTTTCTGGTTCCACAGCTTTGTTCTGGCTGTTTCTTCCCCATGGAAGGGCCTCTGTGCTGCCTGCTTCACAGTCCTTCAAGGACCACCTCACACATCATGTCTTTCCTCAGAGCCATTCTTGATGCCCTTCTCTTTATCCTTTCCCTTTTTTGGTGTTGTCTAGCCTTTGGCTTGTACCCCTGTCCTTCTTACAGTGTGTGACTTAACTACCATTGAATGTTACTTGTGTTTAGTCCCCTCTCCTGATAGAATACACTTTCTTTGAGGACAGGGGATGTCTTATTCATCACTGCCCACCACTGCCCTGTGTCTTGTATGGTGCTTTGTATGCAGAAGTTATTCAGTAAATGCTTGAGGATTGGCTTTGGGTACAACTCATAAACACCAAGGCTGTAGGTAGTAGGTCTCTGCTATACATAGGATAATCCTGAATAACCTTGACATTTGACATGGGAGAACTGCCTATGCAGTTTGAAATGCTGGAATAGGAGGGTTCAGAAAGGCCCAGCAGTTGAAAAATGGTGTGACCCCCCTTCTACAGAAGGTAATAGTTGACATCAAAGTTTATGCTTACAATAACTGTCTGGGCTGAAAAGGATGGGTATTGCAAGGGAATGAAACAACGTGCCTCCTAAGCCACATTCGTGGTTTCTGTTTTTGTTTTTCATACAGGGAGCCTGTGGCCAAGGTAGATGAAGGGGTGGCAGCCCCTGTAAGTGGAGGTGCTGCCCGACTCCGATTTTTCTCCATGAAGAGGACAGTATCCCAGCAGTCATTTGATGGCGTCTCGTTGGATAACAGCGGCCCTGAAGACCGGATTTCGGTGGACAGTGACGGCAGTGAGAGCTTTGTGATGCTCTTGGAGTCTGGTAGGTGGAAGCAGAGCCAGGCAGAGTTGTAGAGCCTCAAGAGGGTTCTTCTGATGCCTGTAGTGTGACCGGAGGATGCAGAATGAGCTGAGCTTTGATAAAGCAGATATTTTCTTAATCAAAATCAAAGAAGAGTGAAATTTTAGTGGATTTGTGACTCTGAATTTATCCTCACGTTTTCTAGGTTATGGATAGGTACTTGACCCTTATCACAGAACAACACTCAAAGAAGAGAGCGCTAGTCTTACAGCCATGGAGAGATGGCAGTAGGGTTAATTATGTGGCTCTATCAACGGTGTGTGTGTGTGTGTTGCCTATCTTTTGCTTAACTATGTATTTCATTGTTGGAAAATAACTAGAAGCTTTTTGTCTATAGTAAAATGAGTAACTTTCAGGAGTTAGATTAAACCCCACTAGGAGTTAAACTAGTTCTTTCAGCTTATCGAAATGAAAACTTTTAAAATTGTCCCTTGTGTGCATGCTAAGTTGCTTCAGTTGTGTCCGACTCTTTGCAACCCTATGGACTGTAGCCTGCCAGGCTCTCTGTCCATGGGATTCTCTAGGCAAGAATACTGGAGTGGGTTGCCATGCCCTCCTCCAGGGGATCTTCCCTACTCAAGGATCGAACTCGCATCTCTTGTGGCTCCTGCATTGCAGGTGGATTCTTTACCACTGAGCAACCAGGGAAGCCTAAAATTGTCACTTAAGAGTATCTAAATGAAAAGATCCATTGACTCTAGTCAGCTGAGAGCTGAGGCTGACAGGTCATAAAGGGGTGCACTTGCTACCTTATTGAAGATAGAAACCAAAGTTGAACTGAATCGCTGGGGCCATTCACTGAGAAGTTTTCTTCTTCTTTGTTTTGGCTGCACACATGACATGTGGGATCTTCCCCATAGGGATCCAGCCCCTGCCCCCTAATTTGGCAGCTTAGAGTCTTAACCACTGGACTGTCCTTTTTTAATTAAAAAAAACAAACAAACAAAAAAAAAANNGACTGGTTGGATCTCCTTGCAGTCCAAGGGACTCTCAAGAGTCTTCTCCAACACCACAGTTCAAAAGCATCAATTCTTGGGCACTCATTTTTCTTTATAGTCCAACTCTCACATCCATACATGACTACTGGAAAAACCATAGCTTTGACTAGATGGACCTTTGTTGGCAGAGTAATGTCTCTGCTTTTTAATATGCTGTCCAGGTTGGTCATAACTTTCCTTCCAAGGAGTAAGCATCTTTTAATTTCACAGCTGCAGTCACCATCTGCAGTGATTTTTGAGCCCAAAAAAGCAAAGTCTGCCACAGTTTCCACTGTTTCCTCATCTATTTGCCATGAAGTGATGGGACCAGATGTCATGGCAAATCTTATTTCATTTATTCTTCTGCTGTCTTCCCTTCTTCCCATATTACTTTGAAGCAAATCCCAACCATATCATTTTATCCATAAATATATAAATATTTTCATTACACATCTCTAGAAAATACAGATTTTTAACCAAATTAAAAGTTTTTAAAATTATGGTAAAATGTACATAACATAAAATTTACCATCGTAACTATTTTTAACTATAATTTAGTGGCATTAAGTACCTTCAGATTATTGTACAACCATCACCCACTGTCTATCTCTAGAACCTTTATATCTTGCAAAACTGAAAGTCTGTACCCATTAAACAATAACTTCTCATTCCCTTTTCCACCAGACCCTAGCAACCACCATTCTACTTTCTGTCTGTATGAATTTGACCACTTTAGGTACATGACTGGCTTATTTCATTTAACATGATGTCCCTGTTGTTCATATTGTATATTGTATATTGTTCATATTGTATATTGTGGTTCATATGCTATATTGTATGTAGCATGTGTCAGAATTTCCTTCCTTTTTAAGGCTAGTATTTATTTTTCATTTGTACCACATTTTGTTTAACCGTTCTTCAGTCCATAGACACTTGGGTTGCTTCCATTTACAGACTTTTTCCAACATGACCAAATACCATTGTCACACTTTAAAAAATGAACAATAATCCCCTAAATTCATTAAATATCCAGTTAGTCTTGAAATTTCCAGTTTTCTCATAAATGTCATAAATGTTTCATTTTTATAGTTGTCACTAGGGATTGGATTTGAGTAGAATTTTTGACTCTCCAGCTCTTGTTATCTTTCTTTTGCAGAGTCTGGTCCAGAATCTCTTCCCCCGGGACCTCTTCCCAATGCTGTGGACAGCGCTGGTGTTCAGGGGAGCCCTGCTGTGGACAGTTATGGCCAGGGGTCACCGGAGGCCACTAGTTCGGTCTCCCCCAGTGGGGATGCCCTCAGTCTCCACCAGGTCAGTTCTTCTGCTTTCTTCTCTGCAGAGGGTGGGCTCTCAGCTGGCAGCTTGGGACTCAGCTAGGCGAATCTCCCTTTACAGGTCTCAGTTCTGGTCCTGAAGGTGAATGAGGTGTCTCTGGGGATTGAGGTACGTGGTGAGGACCTGACTGTGGCCCTGCAAGCAGAGAAGCTGACCCTCCAGCAGCCGGGCACTATGGGACTCTGGCAGTTCCTGCATGGACAGTGCCCAGGTGAGGATGGTGGGATCCCGGGAGAGCTGGTAGGATTTGCGCTGGGGTGGGGAGGAGGACAGTCAGACTGTCCTGTGCTCCAGGGGCAGCCAGCCTAGTGCCACGTCCTTGGTGCTTTTCTTCAGCAGCCATTAGAGGGAGGAAGAAGCCTAATGAAGCCTCCTTCTCACAAGGAGCCTCCCAGAGCTCTCACTGAGGCTTTGTACTCAGTAGGCTAGTCTCCATCCTCACCTCTCAGGTGCTCCTTACCCTCATATGAGAGGACAGTGTCCACTTCTTTGTGGGGCTGCTAACATCAAGCTGTATCTGATCAGGGAGCTTCTGATTCAGTCCTTTGATGTAAATTATCATTTATACTTTAAAAGATGGCAGAAAATATCTGGACTTAAACTACATGCTTCGTTTTTTAAAAATTATATTTTAAAATATTGAGTAGATATGCTTGTAAAGTAGAATGCTTGTCAAAATATATATATAAGGTCTAAAATAATCACAATACAATGAATGTATGTACCCACTACCTAGTTTAATAAATAGAATAGTACCATTAAGTTTGAGCCCCAGGAGCCCCTCTCCAGCACCTTCCTCTTGCCTCTCACCTATTATAGGGGATCACTATCCTTAATTTGTATTTTTCATTTTCTTGCTTTACAGTTCTTCCACATGTTTTTTTTTTTTTTTATCAATGTATTATTTAGCTGTGCAGGCTTTCAAGTTTTTCTAAGTGGAATTATCATTTATATTCTTTTGTGATTTTCTCCTTTCAAGTACTATGATATTCTTCAAATCCTTCTAGGTTGTTGAGTTAGCTATAATTCATTCACTTTCACTACTTAATAATATTCTATTGTAGAAATGTATGACTTTAAAAAACTGCTTTAACGAGGTATAATATGCATACTATGAAATTCACTCTTTGTGTGTACTTTCATAAATATTAGTAAGCTTACAGAGTTCTGCAACCATCACCATCACCCCCAAAATCTCTCTTGTACTCTTTACTCTGTTTACTTCTTCATTCTGTTCTGAACAGACATGTGGTTTGTTTCCAGGTTTTTTTGCTGTTTCAAATAGGATTGTTTTCACATGCCCATCCTTGTATATTTCTCCTGTTATGTATGTTGGAGAGTTTCTCCAGGTTTATATTACTGAGGAAATAATTGCTAGATCATTAGGGTAGGTATAGCTTTAATTTTGCTAGATAATGCCCATTTTTTTTCCCTAGAATAGTTGTACCGCTTTACAGTTTTATAGGTTTGTAAGTTGTTTCATAGCTTTGGCTGCACCTGAGGTTATTCTTCATGCAGTTTCGAGTAAATTAGCATAGATCCTGCTTGGCTTCCTGAGAGAAAGATGAGAGGACCAAGACTTGGAGAAAGGAAGAGATGATCAAATTTAGCAGAGTTGAGGGTCTACTGTTTGTTTATTTGTTTTTGACTGTACCGTAGGGCTTGTAAGATCTCAATTCCTTAACCAGGGGATGAACCTGGGTTCTAGCAGTGAAAGAGTCGAGACCTAACTACTAGACCTCCAGGGAACTCCCGAGGGTCCTCTGTTTTAGCTTCACCTTGGCCGTTAGCCCACTGCCTCTGATTCTAAGCAAGACGAGCTTTTTAATTGGTCCTTACTGTCCCTTCCACCATGAGAGGCATTAGAGCACAGTGGCCAAGCCCATGGTCTTTGCAGTCAGGCAGCTTGCATGCAGCTCCTACCTTGCTACTTGCAAACTGTGTTACTTTGTTGGTTTTTTAAAAATTATTTATTTATTTTTGGTTATACTGGGTCTTCATTGCTGCATGTGGGCTTCCTCTAGTTGCAGTGAGTGGGGAGTACTGTCTAGTTGCAGTGTGTGGGCTTCTTACTGCAGTGGCTTCTGTTGTTGCAGAGCACAGGCTCTAGAACATGGGCTCCAGTAGTTGTGGTGCAAGGACCTTGCTGCCCTGTGGCATGTGGAATCGTCCCAGGACAGGGATCGAACCCGTGTCCCCTTCCTTGGCAGGCAGACTCTGAACCACTGGACCGCCAGGGAAGTCCACAAGTTTTGTTACTTTGGCAAGTTACTCTCTGTGCCTTAGTTCTTTCATCTGTAGAATGGGAAGATAATAATACTTCTGGTACAGGGTTGTTTTGAATATTCAGTTCAGTTCAGTCGCTCAGTCATGTCCAACTCCTTGCGACCCCATGGATTGCAGCACACCAGGCCTCCCTGTCCATCACCAACTCCTGGAGTTTACTCAAACTCAGTCCATTGAGTCGGTGACACCATCCAACCATCTCAACCTCTGTTGTCCCCTTCTCCTCCTGCCTTCAATCTTTCCCAGCATCAGGGTCTTTTCAAATGAGACAGTTCTTTGCATCAGGTGGCCAAAGTATTGGAGTTTCAGCTTCAGCATCAGTCCTTCCAATGAATACTCAGGATTGATCTCCTTTATGATGGACTGGTTGGATCTCCTTGCAGTCCAAGG